AATGAAAACCAGCACTGGGAACTATGCTGAGAAATAAATAATATGGCAGAGTTTATGGACTATCTCATTGCCTAGATATTTGTGATTCTGTGACTGTCATTAACACCATTAAGCATAGCTAGTGGTAAGAGAAGATGAGACTTCCAGTCCAACAACATCTAAAAGGCCACACATTTCCTATCACTATAACAAAGCACTGAATGGCTGATGCAACAAATGAATTCAAGGTGTTTCAAGAAAAAAAAACAAGTGTATGTTCTATATTTTGAGGGTTTTTTCTCCTTTGATGAGAATCTTTTCAACACATGACAACAACATACTTTAAAGGCAAATATCCTGTAATTTCACCTGTGTAGTGGAGCCCCTGAAGGCGCAATGGGTTAAACCCTTGTGCCGGCAGTATTGCTGACCTAAAGGTTGGCGGGTCGAATCCAGGGAATGGGGTGAGCTCCAGTCTGTCAGCTTCAGCTTCCCATGTGGGAGAGCATGAGAGAAGCCTCTCACAGGATGGTAAAACATCTGGACGTTCCCTGGGTAACATCTCTGCAGACGGCCAGTTCTCTCACACCAGAAGTGACTTGCAGTTTCTGAAGTCACTCCTGACATGAAAGAAAACCTGTGTAGTTATATGGAAAGGGAAGGACAAAAAGAGAAGACAATGATGCTGGGGAAAATGGAAGGAAAAAGGAAGAGCGGCCGATCAAGGACAAGATGGATGGATGGTATCCTTGAAGTGGCTGGATTGACCTTGAAGGAGCTGGGGGTGGTGACGGCCAACAGGGAGCTCTGATGTGGACTGGTCCATGAAGTCACGAAGAGTCGGAAACGATCGAATGAATGAACAACAAAAGAAAAAAAAGAAAGAAAAGGGGAACAGAAAGAAAAGGCAGTTGTCTCAAAGCCACCTATTTCTAGAACATCTGGCCTCGTGGAGTCTTTGGAGCCATGGCAATGTGGTAGGTGATTTTCCAAGCCACCTTTCTTATCATACCTTGGTTTGAAGAACACTTCAAAGCCAGGCATTTAAGATAACTTGGAGTCAGATATCTCCCTCCATTCTTGGAGATGCCACCATTTCCCTGAATAAGAAAGCCACTCATGTAAAGGAGGATTGCACAAGGGGTTTAACATTCTAGAATCACTGTCAAAAAACCCCAAATTATTTTAAAATCTCATTAAGCATAATGATTTTGGGGAAACCCAGTTCGTGATTTTAAACATTTCTTACAGCTCTTCATTATGTAATCTGGTTGGACAAAACTGCAGCAAGAACTAGGTCAAAATCTTGAGCATACTAATAATAATAGCTGATCACTTGATCCAGCTGACAAAAGGGCAGTGTTCCTCTGAGGTTCAATCCACAAAATCATGGAGATGGAAAAGACCACAAGGATCATTCAGCTCAATCTCTTGCATTCAGAAATACACAATGGAATATACAATAAAGCACTCCCAACAGGTGGCCACCCAGACTTTGTTGTTCTCTTTCTCTAAGGCAGTGGTTCCAACCTGTAGTCTGTGGACCACCAATGGTCTGCAAGAATGAAAATATGGTCCATGGCCACACCATTAATACACTGTTGCCCCTAAACCACGGGGCAAGAAGAGCGACTGGTCTCGCAAAACCCTCTTATAGTGCCGAGGCCATGAGGATGTCGGGAGGGGAGAAGCTGACTACCTACAAAAGATTACTACTACTACATCAGCCCTAGATTATTAAATATGGTTTTATGTGGGCGAGCAGATGGCGACTACTGGATGGCATATGTTCTGTATCAGAAACTAGAGCTGATGAGGTCTATCCAATGCAATTTTCTGAATCAGCACCCCAAATAACCAAACCAAATTGAAAGTTGACCAAAAACTAAATGCATAACCCTTTTGGTACTAATGTTGGAGAGTGATCCCTGTTGAAGTGGTCCCTGGTTTAAAAAAAAAAAGGTTGGGAACCACTGCTCTAAGGAATACAGTAAGACCCCAGTATTCACTGGAGATATATTCCAAAATGCATCTACCCCATGGATAATTGCAATAATATATAGTACCAAACCTATATTTTGACTATATTTGGACTAGAAGTATACCACTGAATAGCACTGGCAGACCTAGAAAGGCTACGGAAGTGGTTCTCAACCTGTGGGTCCCCAGATGTTTTGGCATTCAACTCCCAGAAATCTTAACAACTGGTAAACTGGTTGGGATTTCTGGGAGTTGTAGACCAAAGCATCTGGGGACCCACAGGTTGAAAACCACTGTGCTATAGGCACTTCCAGGAGGATTTTTTCTTAAAATGTAGGTAAATGAAATTGTGGATATTGAGTCCACAGATAAGGGGGTCATACTGTGATCTATTTCTAATGATAGCTTGAATGCAGAAGATAATAATAATAATAATAATAATAATAATAATAATACTTCATTTATATTCCTTCCTATTTCCCCGAAGGGACTCAGAGCAGATTCCAAACATAAAAGGCAGAAATTCAATGCCAGAACATAAAACAATACACTCATAATAACGAAAATTGACAACCCAACATATAAAAACAAATTATGACTTAACAACTACAATTAAATGAAAAACACAACCTGTTATATCAGACTTGATACAGAACATCAAACATCAAAGATCTTACCTATGTGCTTGAACTCTGAAATATCCCTACCCTGTTGCATCTTGTACTCAAATCTATACAAAGAAATCTCTCAAAATTACTTCCAGCCTTGCTTTTGATAATTAATGGAATGGTGTAACTTCCCCTTTGATTTTTTTTAAAATACGGATTTATCAATGCAAAACAGTATTATTTACTAATATGTAAATAAGTTAAAATTGCTTGGTTACTCATACACACACAATGAAGCTTTGATCAATGGCTAGCAAATTGGCTACACTTCTTCCTATGAGACTGCATCTGTCTCAAAAGCTATCTCAGAAATGCAAGGCCATCAAGTTTAGGGTGGCATTTCCCTAATGATGTATCTTAACATACTGAGAAAATACTAACCAAGAATGAGAAGTATTGCTGTTTCAAAGCAAGACCTAAAGACTAATTGTGTGGTATTTATTCCTTGGAAGAGAGAAAGGTTTAGTCGTACAGAATTGTATACTGGGTTCATTTCCTCATTTCAACACTAGCGGTTCCATCCCCAGCTCCAAATACATATATTGTCTCATCCTAGAAATACTCTTTAAAAGTGCCTACTGTACACTTTTGGGGAAACATCAAACACATCCATCAATCCCCCTGAAACATACAAATCCCAAATGGACCAACTGTGCATCTCTTTTTAGAACGGAGCCCAAATATCAGCCCTATTCCAAGTAGTGACCAGGCGGAAGACAATTCTTTAGGATATAATTCCATTTCAACAGATATGGAGTCCTTTCCATTTCAGAAATTTGGTTATGTAACAAAAGCTGAACTGAATGGAGAAGCCTTCCCTTTCAAACTGGATGGCTTTCCTTCCTCCTATATCCTCATCTTGATTTGCAGAAACCCTGCAAAATCTCTCAGGTAACACACAAAGACGAAGGAAGCCGACAGGAAATAAAGATTTCCAGACTATGGATTGCTGTGAGTTTTCCAGGCTGTATGGCCATGTTTTAGAAGCATTCTCTCCTGATGTTTTGCCCAAATCTATGGCAGGCATCCTCTTGGAAACTAGGCAAGTGAGGCTTATATATCTGTGGAATGTCCAGGGTGGGAGAAAGAACTGTTGAAGGCAAGTGTGAATGTTGCAATTGGCCACCTTGACTAATAATGTAATAATAAACTTTATTGATACCCTGTCACCATCTCCCCGAAGGAGAGCTAACATGAGGCCAAGCCCAAGAATTACAATAAGGCTAAATAAAATAGATATAGGAGACTAACATCAAATAAAATGCTGAACAATAACAAAATAATACAATAAAGTAATAACAATAATATAATGACACCAAATATAAAGTGATAAAACACAACATTGAATAGCCTTGCAGCTTCAAAGCCTGGCAGCTTCCTGTCTGGGGGAATCCTTTATTGGGAGGTGATGACCTGGCCTTTGCTACAACTGAACACTCAAGAAAACAAGGGAAAACCAGAAAATAATCAATCAGGGCCAACTAACAGTTCCCATCAGAGGATCCCCCAGGCAGCAACCAGCCAGGCTTTGTAGCTGCAAGGCCATTCAATGCTAATCAAGGTGGTCAATTGCAACAGTCACACTTGCCTCCAACAGACAGGAGTTCTTTCTCCCACCCTGGACATACCACAGATATATAAACCCCACTTGCCTAATTTCCAAAAGACCTCACATCCTCTGAGGATGCCTGCCATAGTTGTGGGTGAGACGTGAGGAGAGAATGCTTTTGGAACATAGCCATAAAGCCCGGAAAACTCACAGAATCCCAGTGATTCTGGCCATGAAAACCTTCGACAACACAAGAAATAAAGATTTCTAGGCTATGTGTTGTTGTGGGCTTTCTGGGCTGTATGACTATGTTCCAGAAGCATTCTCTCCTGACGTTTTGCCCACATCTGTGGCAGGCATCCTGTGAGGTTGTGGGGTCTGTTGGAAACAAGTGGAGTTTATGTGGGTAAAAAAGTCAGATATATAAATCTTACTTGCCTAGTTTCCAACAGATCTCACAACCTCTGATGATGCCTACCACAGATGTGGGTGAAACAACAGGGGAGAATGCTTCTGGGTCATAGCCATACAGCCCAGAAAACTCACAGCAACCCAGTGATTCCGGTCCTGAAAGCCTTTCAAGAGACATATTGCTCCAAATTCCCAATGCCACATAAGCTCTCCTCCTGTTATTTAACCAAATGTAATAATAACGCCATTGGTACTAGCTACAGTGTATCAGGAGGTGCAATGCCCACATCCCAGTGTCTCCAGGAAAGGCAAGGCAGCAGGACAGAAAAAGGGAGAGGATGCTGGGCCTGGGAGGTCCAGCCAGGGAAGCCGGAGGGGAAAACCTGGAGCCTGGGAGTAAGAGGAAGCCTTACCTGGCGAGGCCGAAGAAGCCGGGCTGGAGAGCAGCAGGAGGAGGAGGAGGAGAGGGAGAGCCCTCCAGAGCCATAGGCGTCGGGCGAGGAGCAGCAGCGAGACCAAGGCGACCCTCGAGCATGCCGCCCCATCCATGGCCACGCCAAGCCTCAAGTCCTCCTCCTTCTTACCCGCGTCGGCATCCTTCCCTCCTCCGAGGGAAGCATCCCCCCGCTTTCCGCCTTCTCCTCGGAGCATCCAAGCAGGCAGGCGCCCAAGGCATCGGAGGGAGGGAGGGGGGGGGTCCGGAGAGGAGTCCCCCACCTCTCCCTTTCTCAGGCAGGTGGGGAAGGAGGAGAACCAGAACCAGCGGGAAGGGAAATGGCAAGCGAGTTCAAGCGAGAGGAAGCTTCTCCGGCAGGGAAAGCGGGGGAGGAAGGAGGAAAAGGAGGGGAGGGGGACCCGGCGAAAGGAGGGGGGATCCTCTTATTGGAGAGCAGCGGGAGGAGGCCGAGGAGCCCATTCGTCCCGGGCAGGGGCTGCGATGGAGGGCGGCGAGGAAGGGAAACCCGCACGCATTGGAGGGAAGGAGGAGAAGGAGGAGGAGGAAGAGGAGAAGGAGGAGGAGGGCGCGCAAGGAGCCAGGAAGAGCCTTCCAGGAAGGGAGAGGGAGGAGGAGGAGAGCGGGGAGAGGCCTCTCACGACCCCGCAGCCCACTCCCAACGCGGCTCAAATGGGAAGAGGAAAAGAAGAGGAGGAGGGAGGCTCATAACGGGAAGAGAGGAGGAAGAGGAGGCTCTCTCAGCTCGCCTGCCCTCCTGCTCCGTCCGGGCCACGGCTCTCGCTTTCTTCCAGGAGGGAAGCTGAGCTGAGGAGGGGGGCTCTTCACGTGGGAAGGGAATGCTTCTCCTCTTCCTCCTCCTCCTCCTCCTGCTCTAGCTAACGGGGAGTTCTCTCCTCCTCCTCCTCCTTGTCTCCTCCTCCTTCTCTTCTTCGTCCAGCTAACAGTGAGCTGCTCTCCTCGTCTCCTCCTCCTTCTTTCTTTCTTCTTCCCTCACTTCCCGGTGGCGCTTCGTTTTGGGGAGAAGGAGGAGGAGGAGGGGGCGAGGGAAGGGAGGGAGGAAAGGTTGAGGAGGACTCAAGGAGGCAGCACCTGCGCGCGCACGCACGCACACACAAACACGGGGCTCGAGAGAAAGCCCCGCCGGAGCGCGCGCGCGCCAGAGACAGAGAGCGGGAGCGCGCAGGGAGGGAAGAAGGGAGGTGGACAAGACAGGACAGGCCGGAGCGGGAGCGCGCAGGAGGCCAAGGGGCGGGGCGGAGGAGGAGGAGGCGGGGCTTAGAAGGGAAAGCGTTTRATTAACAAAACAAAAAAGGACGTGGGGGGAAAGAGGAGGAGGAGGAGGAGGAAGCGCGCTCGGGGGGGAGGGGGACGTCATGAGCTCACTGGCCCTGGCGCCTCCCCCTTTCCTCCCCCTCCTCTTACTCCACCTCCTCCTCCTCCTTGCAGTCCCGTTGTAGAGGTGAAAAGGAGGAGGAGGAGGAGGAGGGGGCAACGAGGGTCCGTGGGCGGCCGTGGCCAAGGGAAAAGGAGTGGGCGTCTGTGGAGGCGGCTTTCCCTCCTTCCCTCCCTCACCCCTCATACACACGCATTCCCGGCTTTGTTCCAAACCTCCGCCTTGTCTAAGGACAAAAGGCAGAAGGGGCTGTGGGTGCATCTATACCGGAGAATTTATTTATTTACTTCACTTGTACACCGCTTTTCTCACACACCTCCCCCCCGCGGGGACTCAAAGCGGTTTCCAACATAATGCTAGCAAAATGTAATACCTCACATACCTGTTGTTGTTTGGTCGCTTCAGAATCTTCGTGACCTCATGGACTAGCCCACGCCAGAGCTCCCTGTCAGCCGTCACCACCCCCAGCTCCTTCAGAGTCTTTCACTTCAAAGAACCATCCATCTTGTCCTTGGTTGGGCCCTCTTCCTTTTTCCTTCCATTTTCCCCAGCATCATTGTCTTCTCCAAGCTTTCCTGTCGTCTCATGATGTGGCCAAAGTACTTCATCTGTGTCTTTAATATCCTTCCCTCAAATGAGCAGTCCGGATTTATTTCCTGAAGTATGGACTGGTTGGATCTTTGGACTCTTCCTGACTTCATGCCCCAGTCCAGGCCAGAACTCTCTGTCTGCAGTCTCCACCCCTAGCGCCTTCAAGGTCAAGCCGCACTGTGCTGGTAGGGCTGTATCAGGAGCTCCAACTTCTTTTCCTTTCTATTGAGTATTTGCATGTATTCAAAAGTTCCATGCATTTTGCAATAAGGTGGCTTCCCTTGGTTTGCAAGCATAGGGCCAATGACCCATCAATTTGTACAGGACGTGAATCAGTTCCACCTGTAGAAAGCTTCGTCTTTTACAGCTTTGCTGGGGGGATCCAGTCCCAGAGCTCTACAGATAACTACAGCATAGCCTTTGTTGGGGAATTTAGTTCCACAACTCTACAGCCAGCTTTCGCTAGGAATTGAAAGCCTTCTTTCCTCTTGGAAATCTACTAAAGGACTCTGGTGAGGACCACTCGCGGCAGCCATAAAGCAATTTGGACCAGGTGTAGGGGCCCAGGGAGGGGTCAAGGATTTCCCTTGTAGGAGGAAGAAACAGTTTATGAAGAAAGTTGCCTGTCCCTTGTGGACAAGATTTAAGCAAGCTACCAGTTGATTCAAAGCTTTGAAGTATTTGTTTGATTTATTGAAGATTTAAGCAACAATAAAAACTTTGTTGAACTTTCTAAGTCTTTAAAAGAACTTTGTGTGGGGAAATCCAAAAGGCCTCTCAGCCGAGGCACCCCCGGCATCCTGTTGGGCATTCAGAAAACACGTCCTGGCTACAGACTCTTCCACAGGCCCAGCGCGTGACAGCACACCCACACTTCAAGGATACCATCCATCCATCTTTCCCTTGGTCGGTTTCTCTTCCTTTTTCCTTCCATTTCCCCAGCATCAATATTTTCTCCAAGCTTTCCTGTCTTCTCATTATGTGGTCAAAGTACTTCATCTTTACCTCTAACCACTTCATCACACTAGAGAAAAAATCCACTTAAAATCCGGTTTCTTCCTCTTGCAGAATTCTGGGGTTTGTAGTTTAGTGAGGCTATTAAAGCCTTCTCCCTAAACTACAACCCCATAAGTCTGCAAGAGGCAGAAACTGGATTTTAACGAATTTTTTCTCTAGTTTAATATCCTCCTCTCCAGTGAGAAGTCAGGCTTTATTTCCTGGAGAATGGACTGGTTTGATCTTCTCGCGATCCAAGGCACTCTCAGAATTTTCCTCCAACACCACAGTTCAAAAGTGTCTGTCTTCCTTCACTCATCCTTATTGCCCAGCTCTCACATCCATAGGTTACTACAGGGAATACCATTGCTTTGACTATGCGGATCTTTGTTGCCAGTGTGATGTCTACTCTTCGCTATTTTATCGAGATTGACCATAGCTCTCCTCCCAAGAAATAAACATCTTCTGATTTCCTGGCTGCAGTCTGCATCTGCAGTAATCTTTGTGTCTAGAAATTCAAAGTCTGTCACCGCCTCCACGTTTTCTCCCTATATTTGACATTTTTCAATCAGTCTGGTTGCCATCATCTTGGGGTTTTTTTATGTTTAACTGCAACCCAGCTTTTGTACTTTCTTCTTTCATCTTGGTTAGAAGGCTCCTCAGCTCCTCCTCACTTTCAGTCATCAGAGTGGTATCATCTGCATATCTAAGGTTGTTAATGTTTCTTCCAGCAATTTGAACTCCAGCCTTGGATTCATCAATCCCCGCACATCACATGATGTGTTCTGCAGACAAGTTGAATAGGTCAGGTGAGAGTATACAGCCCTGCCATACTCCTTGCCCAATCAATGTAGCTCTCTCTCTATATATAATGAAAATTACACAATCCAACGAATGTAATTTCGGCCATTCCAATTATCATATCTATTGCACATAATACCATATAATTCCTTGTACTGCTTACTGCCCAAAGGCTTGGTCTCATAGCCAAGTTTTTACTTTTCTTCTGAAGGCCAAGAGGGAAGGTGCTGATCTAATTTCATAGGGGAGGGAGTTCCATAGCTGAGGAGCCACCACTGAGAAAGCTGTTTCTCACCCCCACCAACCACACTTGCGAAGCAGGTGGGACCAGAAGCAGGGCCTCCTCAGACAATCTTAATCTCCAAGATGGTTCTTACCTGTTTGGACAGATAAGAACAGATGCAGTTTGGCACTGCTTTAACCATTGTGGCTCCATGCTATGGAATGCTGGGAGTTTTGCAAAGACTTTTGCCTCCTCTGCCAAAGAGGGCTGGGGTCTCACCAAACTACAATCCTGCCCTGTGCCAGTGATTCTCAACCTATGGATCCCCAGGTGTTTTGGCCTACAACTCCCAGAAATCCCAGCCAGTTTACCAGCTCTTAGGATTTCTGGGAGCTGAAGGCCAAAACATCTAGAGAGCCACAGGTTGAGAACCACTGCCCTATGACCCCTCAAGATGGTGTGACAACTGATCCTCTTTAAGGATTGTGTTTGCACCTTGTGTCCTTCCCAGGTTTGTCCTTTGGAAAGACCACAGAGCTCTTGGGCCGAGATTCTGAAGTGCCCCTCCAGGAACTGTGAATTCCAGCAGTTGCCATGGCAGCTACAGTGGTATAAGACTTCTACAAAGTGCAATAGGATAACTGCAAGTTTTGTGCTGATGACTTGGCTTCGGCACCCCACCTTGGACCCACTCTCCTGGACATATATAATTTTGAAAAGGACAAAGGATGTGAAGAAATTGATTGATTGTTTTGTTTTTAAACTACATTGTAGTCACGTTTCCAAAGACAGCACTTCCAAAGCTACCTTATACTGTCTATTTCACCCTCGTTATTCAGGGGGTGGGGATCATACCCTTGTAAATAGAAAACATATTAAAAGTTGCAATGACAATATAAATGGTGTGGCATTCAGTCTTAGGTGTCTTCCAAGTTGTCTTTGAGATGACTATCCTGGAGAACACCTCTCTAGGGATCTTTAGGTTCTCTGTAGGCTACTTCTGATAATAATAGACCATAGAGTTACAGTGGAGGACCAAGAGATTACTAAATAATGTGTGGTCAAAGGCTTTCATGAATCACTGGGTTGCTGTGAGTTTTCTGAGTTGTATGGCCATGTTCCAGAAGCATGCTCTCCTGACGTTTCATCCACATCTATGGCAGGCATCCTCAGAGGTTGTGAGGTCTGTTGGAATCTAGGCAAGTGGAGTTTATATATCTGTAGAATGTCCAGGATGGGAGAAAAAACTCTTGTTTGTTGGAGGCAAGTGTGAATGTTGCTATTGGCCAGATTGATTAGCATTTATTTATTTATTTATTTACTGCACTTGTAGACCGCCGTTCTCAGCCCTAGGGCGACTCACGGCGGTGTAGAACATATAAAACAGGTACAATTTGCAACATAAGCAATATCACAAACAACAATAAACAACATCACTATCAATAATACCATTACACTAAATCATTCGCGACGTCTCATCATAGAATCACAATCCAAATCTCGTTATCCATGTTCCGTTCCAGTCGTCATTGCCAATTGTTACAGCACTTACTCAAACGCCTTCTCAAACAACCACGTCTTTAATCTCTTGCGGAATGTCATAAGAGAGGGCGCCAGTCTGATGTCCACAGGGAGGGTGTTCCACAGCCGGGGCCCCACCACCGAGAAGGCCCTGTCCCTCCCCGCCAGGCGTGCCTGTGAGGCAGACGGGATCGAGAGAAGGGCCTCCCCGGAGGATCTCAAAAGTCCTCGTGGGCTCATAGGCCGAGATGCGGTCAGACAGGTATTTTGGGCCGGAACCGTTTAGGGCTTTGTAGGCCAACACCAGCACCTTGAATTGGGCCCGGTAGCAGATCGGCAGCCAGTGGAGCTGGTACAACAAGGGCGTTGTATGCTCCCTGCGTCCCGCTCCTGTTA